AATGTTAATTCCAACAACAAGATCATAATGCTGAGATTCTGAATTACGCTCCCATACCCTTCAAAAAGAAGAAAAGCAGAAGCAGAAGAAAGAGAGAACATGGAGAACAGCATGAAGACATAGTTTACTCTCAAGTGAGAAGCACAAACACTGCTGCTCATTGTTCTAATTACTAGTTTACCTGCCTTTCATGACAGTGAATGAAGGTTTTTTTTTATTTATTTATTTATTTATTTATTTATTTTTTTTGCTGCTAAACCACTACAATTTCATTAAACTGGCAAGAGTTGGTTTAATTAAATTAAAGTCTGATTAAACTGATGAAACTGACTTTAAATGTGAGTTAGATGGGCTGGTGGCTTCTGTGGTAGTAAATGGAATTGATATGATGTACACTGTCATCACTCCAGAGCTTCTTATTTTACTTTTCTTTCCTAAAACTGTAGGTTATGAAAAGCTGCCATGATACACTTTTGCACTCATAAACTGAATGGAGTGAATGTTTAAAACTCAATTAAACTACACAGTTGGACCTTCAGACCACTGTAGTACCTTTGAGGGTGCATTTCAACAAAAATGTACCTGTACTGTACCTTACAGTGTACTGACACCTAGTGGACATTTACATTACTTTTAAATACACCCACAATTTGGATTTGAAAGTGCTGTGCTGAGAATGATCCAGCACCCAAATAATATCTGGTCCAATGATAAATAAGGAAACCAGTAATAAATGAGAACTGCTGCTGACCACAGAATCATCACAATAGATAAGATATAGTCTGTAATTGAACATCTATTAAGTGAATAAATAAGTTAGATGGAGCTCTTAAATGACCAGTGAGTGGAAGTTTTTATTTATTTATTTATTTATTTATTTATTTATTTATTTATTTATTTATTTTTAATTAAGTGGATGATCAGTGTCTTTATATTCTATATGGTCAACTGTACATTTAGTTTTATTTACACTACGTCTCTGTCTTTGGTCTTGAAGCAGAACTATGTTGCTCTCCTTGGCGATGAAAACCATAGACTCTGGAGAACAGAATCCTTTATTTATTTCTCTTATTAAATTAAAATGATTTCTATTATTCTCTGTTGTCAATACTATAGTTCAAGAATCTGTAATTTAGCGTTACAGTGGACCAAGAGTTTTAAAAGTAGACTATTTGCATGATTTCACGAAATAAAGTGTAAAAACTTGGTTACATCAGAAATGAAGAACATGAGGAGCGTGAGCAGGAGCAGTGACAGCACCACACTGAGCAGAGTGACCTGCCACTAATAAAGAGGAAAAATCAATTTTTGCAAGCAAACACAAAACATGTGAGGTACAAGATAATCGAAGGAAACTCTATTTCTTCAGGTCTTCAGGTTCAGGTTCAGTATGCACTGGAGTGATAATGAAGAGGCCAACTATAAAAATCACAAAATCATAAGAGCCTGTAAAACACTAAAATAATTCAAACACACACAAGACAAAACACATGACTTTTTAATATATCTGTAGTAATACAACAAAACATTTCCACTGGTACAATTGATTTTTTTAGGTTTTAGATCTTTTTTCCTCCTAATAAAAAGATGAATCTGTGAGTGCTGAGAGCTTATAAGCTTCATCTTCAGATGTAGATAATACAGGTTTGTTATGCTGCAGGTTAAATAAAGTTTTAGAGGTAATATGATACATATTTCAATACAACTCTGAACATTATATAACAACAGACTTTTCTTTCAGTCACTGCAGACAGCAAGACAGAAACTGAATAGCTGTGAAGGCTTTATAGATCATTCAAACTCCTAATGAGTGTTTGCAGAAACAGTAAAAGCTTTTCTCCTGTTATGATGAACTATGATTTGATCTATTAGGATCTTTCTGTTGGTCTCTGTGCTTCTGTTGAACTTGTCACATGTCAGAGGCTGGTTCTGTGTTTTTGTGGCAGCCTCCGGTGCAGCCCCTCATTTGCATGGGAGTTTACCAAGAAAGAAAGGTGAGGGTTCCAGTGAAAAGTTTCAGGCACAGCTACAGCTGATAATGCGGTTTAACTGCTGGTTGGAGGACCGAAAGCTCAAACTACAGGGATCTCTTCAAAAGCAGCATCTGTCTTTATTCCTTATCAGGTTGAGTTACAGGACTTTAGGCATGGAAAGCTTCATGGATTGTTATACATCTATATTCAGTTTGTTTCCTTAAAACTAGGAACAATGTTGATTGCTAATTAGATAACTAGCTTACAAACAAACTTTGCTTTAATTCTGATCTGTTATGGTCTGGACAGAGAAATACAATGAAACTTTTTTTGCTTTTTTAATGACATTTTTCTTACATAAACTCTCAAACACTCCATCAAACTCCAAGGTGTTGCTTGGTGACTTTTTCACAGCTATGGTGTTAAGGAAGATTTGTATTGGTTGGACCGTCTCTGTTGTAAAGGTGGGGTTGTGACCAGCTTCAAACTGTGGATGCTGAAGGGCTGGATGGTGGTGACAGTGAATCAGCTGTGACTGGACAGGGCCTTCAGATCTGGATATGACAGCAGGGCCATTGCTTTGGGCACCAGTTCTGATCAGCTGGAATTTAGGATGATTGTGTTGTGGGCTTGGACCTCCTGTTACAATTGAGTTCTACACTTCACTGGGCCTGGGAAAGAACACAGATCTGAACAGCACTTTGCTCTGCCTTGGCTTCTCCACAGACATCAGAGGGTGAGCAATCAACTACAGTCAGAGTGGTTCCTCTTGTCTTGAATCCATAATTGTTCAAAATGGAGGGGAACATACTAGAACAAACCATGCCTGGAGGCCAAGAAGGACTATGTGGTGTGTGGCTGTAATGGAGGAATACTCTATGGAGCCGATGTGCTGAAGATACAGAGTAAGTAGGAGGAGCTATGAAGAAATAGAATACCTTTTATGCTGGTCCCTCATGGATGGTGTTCTGGACTCTTCTGAACTGGATTTTTGGAGTTGCTTTGTGGATCACTGGGATGGATCACACTTAGAAACATGGGAGACTATGTACTGCTGATGTGGAGGTTGTAGTTTTAAGTATAAGACTTCATGGAAACTGTAAAGTTGGAGTTTAGTCCAGTAAGCAACTGGAGAATCAGAAAGTCAGCCTGTTAAGGGTAGATATTATGTTTCAGTTTTAATGAAATTCAGTTTAATACTGTTCTCAGCTTCTGCGTTCTACTTTTTTGTTCTAATACTTTGGAGCAGCAACATACACTAGACGTAGAATGAGTCTGGAAAATATAAAAAAAAATGCAAAGAAAGAAACATAAATAGCAGATGTAAATATACAACATACAAGTAATATTACTCATCATGATGGACACATGCAGCAAAAAACAATTGAGTGTCACACACAAAAAACACAGTTACCATAAATAGTGGGGTCCAGAAGCCTGAGCTCAAGCTTATTTAAACATGGAAATCAACCAAACATGTTAGTGAGTAAATAAAATAAGTGGGAAATAGTCAAGATTCCAACAGTCAAGGTCTCTACTTGAACTGAAGCTAATTTTTGACGTTCAGCATGTTATAAATTGTATATAGAGATGAAGGTTATTTATTTATTTATTTATTTATTTATTTATTGCTGGTAAAAAAATTGCAAAGAGATATGAAATGTGGCCTTTAACAAAATTCCTGAACATCCTGCTGACTGCAGAGCGAATAAAGACAGAGAAAACCTCTGTTGTTTTGAAGATATTTGTATTGTGTTATTTGTTTGTCCAGTTTCTGTAGCTGCACTCTGTGTCTGAAGAAAGCTGCTATGTGTGCTTCCTGTGGAAACTTTGATGGTGAGAGGGGCTGTTTTTCTGAGAAACCTGGTCAGGGGTGGTCAAAGCGATCTGCAGAGATAAAGCAGTGAATCTTCAGCAGTGCAGTAGGTGAAGGAGTGAGACACAGAGGACAACAAAAAGCTGTGAAAACCACCAACGGCCTAAACAGCACCTACAAGCAGAGGCGTCCACTGACACATCAAAGACTGAGTTTCACAGCACACAAAAAACATTTACCCTACCTTTCCAGAGTTTGGAACCACTTACTACTTCTTATTTTTTATATAATAATACTTGAATCTTTTATAGAATACTGACAAATTAGAAATATAATTTATTATTATGCTATTATAATTACCCCACACAGTTCAATAACATAACTTAAAGCAGTTAGGAAATGAGGAGTTAAAGGATTTATGCTTATTATATTCAAGTCTGCAAAGAGAAATACAAGCTTTATGCAATGCTCTATAAAAATTTTGTGGTAAAAATGACCAAAAAACAATGAAATCATTGCTCATGGATATTATGATGCTTCAGTTCAAGAATCAAACACATGGAAAATGAACGACAACTACAACCTTAAGTTCTGTTGCTTTCAGTTTGGGTCAGTTTGCCAAGTAATTGGGTCAGTTTGCCAAGTAATTCCAGTGTAAATACAGTACTGCACAAAAGCAAAAAAATACACAGAAGATTCAACAACTAAATATATTATGTCATGTTTTCAGTTTTTAGTGTGTCCATCTTTGCTTACAGCTTCCATTCTTCTGGTCAGTCCTTTTTCTAATAACACCAGCATCATGCTGATTGATTTGCATTTGATGTTGAGCTGCGCTCATTCATCATTTCTTTACACAATGGCATAATAAATATCAATTTATTAATAAAAGTCAGAAATTTTAAAATGAATAAATAGGTGCAGGTCATTTGATTTTTATGACACATTATTTTAAAGGCCAGTTTGTGTTTGTTTGAGTTCTCTATGTCATAGTGTGATTTGGTTGCCTTGGAGGTGAGAGAGAAAGAAAAAAAGAAAGGAAGGAAGTGGGAGGAGATCAAAAGGGCAGAGAGGACAATATCATTGGTAACTGTCACAAAGTGATGAGGGAGGAGGCTCAGTGAGGAGAGGAGGAAACCCCACCCACAGTGCCCCCAACATTTACATGCATCATTACTGAGATATTCTGAAACAGAGTCATCGAACATTACTTTAAAGCCTGGATTCATCATGTTTACTTTATTCACATGCATGTACAGGTTACAGCTCACAGAACAACTTTTAGCAAGTGAAACCTAAAGGCAATAGAACAAAAAGAGAAAAGATAATGTGTTTTAGGAGATAATGGTAAATACTACTGAGGAAAAAACTCATTGATCCCTCTTTAAAGAAAAAGATTGATTGACTCAGCTGGAATTCTTTGGCTTTGAACACTGTAATTAGACACTTCTGCTTTGAGATTTGCATTTGAATGACTCACTGTTATCTCTGGTTTCAGTAACCAATCAGCTCAATCGCATTAAGAACATTAAACCCATTTGACCAAATCAAATGTCTTAGTCACCCAGTCCAGTAAACAGAACAGGAATCAGAGTCTGATCTGACTTTATGTCAGGCTGGTGTAAATCACTTCAGAGTACACATTGTCCTGAGGCCGTCTTCTGTTCTTCACCCCTCTTTTAGTATCTGCTTCAGAGAAGGCGGAGTAATACAGCTCCATAGCGTCACGTTCCTGTAGTGAAATGAACATTGTATGTATTCTTTTTAAGATTCTTTTGACCACAGTTATGAAGCTAAAAGCTGTGGTTGGTCCATATGGGGCAGCTCAGGCTCCACAAACATCATTGCTCATGAGTGCCCTCTATGGTGAAGTACGAGCCCTTCTAGATTTCACCTGACACCATTACCATCGTTAAGAAAGCAGCACTTTGCATAATGTGGTCATTTTTAATAATGACCAAACAAATAGCCATAACTGGTTGCTGTTTATTTCATGTACCAAACCATGTTATTGTAAAATATTTGGGATTTATACAAGTCTCTGCAGAAACAGAGCTTATAGCAATCAGAGTGTATAGATGGTAACATTATAGCTTAGCAAGTTGAAGTTTGTTACTCTTAACCTTTATAACATTATTATAATGTCTTTCTTGAAAAAAAGCAATTTGCTGTGAAAAAAGTTTAATTTTTTTCATTCATGTTGCCCTTTTTTCCTTGAGTCCCTGCCACCCAAAGGGTCTTTGCATGGGCCTGGCCTTAGCATTACTAATGATCATGTTCTTCCATTTTCAAATCTGTTCCAGTTAGGTGGGCACTCAAGAGGTCGTCTCTTCAATTTTTTTTTAAATGAAATATCTCCAAAAATGGAGATATTAGGTTTTGTTTTAACAGTGATGATATTGCAAATAATGATTATGAGCCATTTTCATGTAACTAAGTCAACGCTTAATATTTCAAAAAATCTACTATCAATGTTATCAGTTATGACTATCAAATAAATAAATCATTATTAACAATCTGCAAAGTAAATAAAGTAATTCAATAATTAAAAATAAATGGTACCATTCAAATGTTAGCATTTATTTATGCACATGCAACAATTATCCAATCATTATCAGTCATAAACAAATTATTACAGGATTGCTGTTTATTAGGGCCTAAAATGTTAATGTCTGTTGTCTTTTAAGTCTTAGAACTTTTAAGTCTGTAAGTAGTTTTTATACATTTGGTCACCACTGTTAGCTCATTTTGCAGGTTGCTCTGGATAAGAGCAACTGACTGTTCCACTTCCAAAAATAGAAATGTTGATCTTTGTTTCAGAATGTTTGATCATTATGCTTTAGTAAACAGTTTGCCCAGCAGCATCTACAAGTCTAATGCCAGAGATTAATGCTTTCACTGTGTAAGTATGTTTGTATTGTTCTTTAAACAGTAAAGTATTATTATTATTACTATTATTATTTTTAATTGCTTTCAGGAAATCAACTCCATCAAATCCTATTCAATTCCTTAGAATATGTATTTTGTATGATTTGCCAAAAGAATAATACCTGGTCATGTAGCTTGTCTGGTCTTGAGAGATCATGTGTAACAGGGTGAGGTTTACTGCCTTGAAATGCACAGAGAAACAGAACATCAGAGTCACTGAAAAAAAGGGGAAAAATACAAAATATTTTGATTCCTCAATTAACTCACCTTGGCAATGTTTACAGATTTTCCCTTTCAAACAGAAGCAGCACAGTGTGACGTTCCAGACCGCGAACAAACCCAGAGCCAGTCCCATCACAAGTACAGCTGAATGGTGAGGCACAGAGTGAGCTAGAAAAGAGAGTTTAAACCTTAATTACATATGGTTTTAGTAGCTTCTCCTGTTGTTTCAGCTTTGTTTCATCTGAAACTATGAGAATGGTTGCAGTGGAGGAGAACAAAGACATTACCTTACTAAAAAGTAGTGGCACATACATTATTGTTAGAGTCAGAGATCATCCTTCATGTGTTTAATATCCAATGAAAATTGTCCATTAAGTATAAATTATTAATTTTATAATTAATTTATTCAACATCAAAGGATTAGTTTTGATGGTCTTGGTTGTTAAGAGTCCCATTTTTGTCTGTATCTTTACATTTTTTTTTGTTGTTTTTTTTTTCAGTTATTTTTCTTTGACTTTTTACTACACCATTATTTTGATGAAACTTATACAAATGAGGGGGTATTGCTGTATTAATACAGTACAGTACACAGTAATGTATGGTTCAACAGTACGGTATGAATCTCTACTAATTTCTGAGTACATAAATGGCACAGCCATCTAGAAGTAACTGATGCTACAATGAACATCTCAACATTGTGTGCACAATTTAAATATGTTGATTCTTTTTAGCACATGCCTATTTCCACAGTTGATCCATTGCCCCAAATGATCTTTCCACAGGCAGCCACAGCGCAGTAGTAAGTTCCAGTATGGTGGTGGTCGAGGATGTTCTTGGAGAAGTTGTACACAGAGCTGTGTGTAGAAGAGCTGATCTCACACTGACGGCTGCTGCTGTTCTGATGAGTGTAAATGATTTCAGGAAAGGATTGTCCTGCAGCAGCTCTGAACCAGAGCACTCGGAGTTCTGCTGCTCCGATCTTAGAGAGGACCGTGCACTGCAGAGTGACCGGCTCTCCTGGAGAAACTGAGCCCCATACTGGAGTTTGGAGAACTGATATGTTTAAGTGAGGATGATCTGGTCAGAATAATATGGTTATTAGACAACGTCCACCGTGCATATTAAGTTGCAAAGTTCTAGTGGTATAAAGTAGCAAAATAGATAATAATCAATGGATATTCATAGACTGTGTTTTTAAAATATTTAAAATAATTTGCATAACAAACCAATCAAACTAAGCCTACAACATCTAGAAATACAGTAATGGTCACAATAGATTGAAATTGTCTGTGTCTTGTTTCTTAATTTTTTATGCATTATTTGTGCATAGTTTTGATGGAAATTTAATACTGTTAACACTGTCATGAAATGTTATTTACATGCTAATGGATACAGTGTGGCTACCTTTTAATGGCCAGGACCGGTTAGTAGGTCTGGAATTGTATTAAACACTTCTATAACTCCAAAATAACAGTAATTTTGTATTGTAGTCCATGTTGTCACTGAATAATAAGGCTCATAATAATTTTATGGTGTAAAAATACAGATGTATAATTACCTGCAATAGCTAAGAATGTTCCAGTGGAAAACTTGATCATCATCATCACAGATATCCCACAGTAGTACATCGCTTCATCATCTTTTGTGGGGTGTGGTATAGTCAGACTAACGCTGTTCTCCATTCTCTCCAGTTTGAAGTTTGAGTTTTTGAAATGTGATGAAAAGACTGCTTCCATAAATGCCCCCTTGATGCCCACCTCCTGAGGCATTTGTCCCACTGGCTGTTTGTACCAAAACACGTCTTCATTACTCTGATGGTCAGCCAGTGTGCACTGAAGCGTAACGGCTTCACCAGGCTTAGCAGAGACAAACGACTGTTTCTGGTAAATATCCAGCGTTTCTGCAGCGTCTATACAAGAATTATTAAGAGTCATTTTTAAACAAAGCTATTAGTGGTTGATAAAAGCAATTATTAAGATTATTACATAAAATAAAAAAAAAATACCAATAAAACTTACATATTTCACGGACAGACACCATAAGAATCCAGGCTGAAACCGTCCTCATGACTGAAATGACTGAAACTTTGAGTAACATGTTTGAAAGGAAGTGATTGACAGACCAGGTTGGTTTTGCCTGATGAGTCCACAACATTCTCACCTCATTGGCTGACACAGGTCATGGGTAACAGCAAGGGTCCTTTTTTCTTCATTTCTTCTTTTTTCTTTTGTCACATAGTTTGACCACCAGAAGCCCCCCTGGCTTCCTTTCTAATCTTGCTGTCTATCCCTGGTGGAGAGTTCATGCTAGTAATTGTTCATTTTAACAGTTGAAGAAACTTTTCTTGTTATATTAACAACTTTTTAAATTTCCTAAATCTGGGATTAACTTAAATTCATGTTATTCTGGGCTTTTATAGTGTAAAATTAGAATAGTGTGAAATAGAATGTAAAACTTAGCTGGACAGAGTGTTAAAAGTATCAAATAATGCTAAATATGAAATGAAAATGTATTTCTTCTTGTAACTTTTATATTATAAGCTAATTCCATAATTATCTGGCATTCAGTGGTGGTTCATCATATTTTTTTTTATGTCTGTTTCTTCTCTGAGTTGTAAGATTGAAGACTTACTGTAAACTGAGTCACTTTGATGTTTGTAGATCATGCTGTCATGATTTAAAATGCAATATTGCCATATGAATATGTGCCATTAAGGAAATTTTATTCTACTTTTATTTTTTTGTGGTTTCATAGATGAAATAATGCAGGGAACCATTTACTTCCAATATAAGAGATCATTTTTAATGAGAAAACATTCAATGCAGTTGACAGTTGTTGTCCATTATTTGGAATTCCTTCAGTGCTGCTCAGACATAACTAATTGCTGTAACCCTGCAGTCTGAATGGTGCTGTTCCAACAATACGTCTCTAGATGTCTCTAAAAGCAAAGAATGGAGAAACTTCCCATTTCAAGTGTTTTAAGCATCTATTGGACATTTGTGTTCTCCTGTGTTTGTTATTGCTGAGTTTACAAGCATATTTTTTTTCATATTGAGTCTTTAGAGTTTTTTATGCTTTTATGAAAGAAACTTTTGACGGACACTGCTGTATTAAGGCATAATAGAGCAGATGGTATCTCCACACTATGATTGAGGAACTGAAAATACTTATTATGGCACTTACATAGAAAGGAGAAAACTGGTGGTGTTACAAGAATGTGTCCAGAAAGCTAATCTGATGCTTTTGTCAGTCGCTTCCTCTGAAGTTTACTGTTCCTTTTATGGCGATGGCTCTGATATGGACTCTCATTTTATTTCTCATGTAAGTTTATGAGCTCTTTACAAAAATGATTTTACGTCATTAAGTTCTCTTAATTTTTTGATTTCTTGTTAAATTCTTTTTTAAAAATGAATTCTGTCTTATATATTCTGCTCAAGGTGTGGGTCTTTCTGAGGCATCATTTGTCTGAACCGAATCTGGAGAAAATGTTACTCTACCCTGCAAATTTGTGAAAAAGTCTGGTCAAAACATTGAGAGCTGGGTTTGGTACAAACAAAGAGCAGGACAGGAACCTCAGGAAGTGGCAGTGAAGTTAACCGACAAATTACCCACTACTTTATCAAAAAGATTCAAAATAAACCAGAGTTTTGATCTGACTATTGAACAAACTACTAAAGCTGATGGAGGAATGTAGCTCTGTGGAAATGGAGTCGGCTATACTATTACCTTTTCCAATGGCACATTCTTAGCTATGACAGGTAAAAATATTACCATTTTACATTCTATTATCATATAAACTCATGCTTATTTGAAAAAAAAATGCACTACTATCTTACACTGTCTTTATTGTACAGACCAGATCAACCTCAGTTAAACATATCAGTGCTCCAAACTCCAGTACGGGGGTCAGTTTCTCCAGGAGAGCCGGTCACTCTGCACTGCACGGTCCTCTCTGAGATCGGAGCAGCAGAACTCCGAGTGCTCTGGTTCAGAGCTGCTGCAGGACAATCCTTTCCTTTCCTGTTATTTTGGAGTTACTGAAGTGTTTAATACAATTCCAGACCTACTAACCGGTCCTGGCCATTAAAAGGTAGCCACACTGTATCCATTAACATGTAAATAACATTTCATGACAGTGTTAACAGTATTAAATTTCCATCAAAACTATGCACAAATAATGCATAAAAAATTAAGAAACAAGTAGACAATTTCAATCTATTGTGACCATTACTGTATTTCTAGATGTTGTAGGCTTAGTTTGATTGGTTTGTTATGCAAATTATTTTAAATATTTTAAAAACACAGTCTATGAATATCCATTGATTATTATCTATTTTACTACTTTATACCACTAGAACTTTGCAACTTAATATGCACAGTGGACGTTGTCTAATAACCATATTATTCTGACCAGATCATCCTCACTTAAACATATCAGTTCTCCAAACTCCAGTACGGGGCTCAGTTTCTCCAGGAGAGTCGGTCACTCTGCAGTGCACGGTCCTCTCTGATCTCAGAGCAGCAGAACTCCGAGTGCTCTGGTTCAGAGCTGCTGCAGGACAATCCTTTCCTGAAATCATTTACACTCATCAGAACAGCAGCAGCCGTCAGTGTGAGATCAGCTCTTCTACACACAGCTCTGTGTACAACTTCTCCAAGAACATCCTCGACCACCACCATACTGGAACTTACTACTGCGCTGTGGAAGCTTGCGGGAAGATCATTTGGAGCAGTGGATCAACATCGGAAATAGGTAGGTGCTAATGCTAAAATATTCATAAGATAAAAAATTTAAAAACTGTAATAACTTACAAAAAACCTTGTTAACCCACTGAATAACTTTTATGACACATTTGTTAATAGTTAATTAATTTGTAAAAAGCAGGCTTTAAAATAAAGTGTTACCAAATGTTTATCTGTGATTTTTTTGCTAACACTGTAATATTAAAATAACTATAAAGATAGTAATATCTGTTAATAATAATAATAATAATAATAATAATACATTTATGTGAAATACAGACAGTAAGAAAGTATTTGAAAACATTCTTATTTTTAAATACATACATGTTTTATTTAAATTAATTTAATGTAATTGTGGAGTTTAACTGGTAAAAGCAACACTGACTACAGAGGTAAAATGGTATAATAAAATCCTTCATTGCCTTTTTCACAGCACTGTACACTATATAAACTGAACTTCACTCAGACAGTAAAGCTTTGACAATATTATATTTCCTTATTCATATTTTATAATCTTCTTCGACCCAGAAATGGAACAAGAACTGAGAACCTATCCTTATGTGAAAGTTTGAATACCTCATATGGAACCCAAAACATACTTGAGTGAAATTTGTGAATCACCAACATCTAAACACATTCAGTCATATAAAAGTAAAAAACTAGTCGTCACTTTAACAAAGTAATGAAAAGTGGTCTTTGTTCAGGGTGTGTAAGGGTCAGTGATCTGGAGACTAATGGGCAGTACTGGCCCTCAAACAATGACAAATTAGCAGTGTCCTGGTCAGTTTCATTTTATAAGTACATGAATTTAATTTGGTGTTTCAATAAAAATATCCTTAATTGAGCAGGAACTCTGATTAATGAGAAAAATGTAAAAATCTTTGAAGTGCTTTTCAAGTGTAAATGAAAATGTGAGGAGACTTTTATTCTTGGAAAAGTTGGTAATTTAAATTTCAATTTAATGTTTGAATAAATTTAGATAAATATATGCTTTATTAAATATAACTATTCCAAAATAATGTGGCCCTTTGGCTTGAAGTGTTATGTATATATATATATATATATATATATATATATATATATATATATATATATATATATATATATATATATATATTTCAGAGGGGCCTGTGGATCCTGTTGTGATCTTTCTGGGAGCAGCTTTGGGAATGTGTGTGGTTGTGATCTCTGCTCAAGCCTTTATAATCTTTTTATAATCTATAAAAGGAGAAACAGTGACCACTGCAGTGGTGAGTAGAGGGGTCTTTTTTTTAATTAGTCTCAGTGTTCAGTTCAGCTGTTTCCCTCGCTGAGGTCAAAATGAAATGTGGTGAAAGTGGAAAAATGTCATCTTGGCAAAGATTGATGTTGCCAGAGCTAAACATGATACTATATATTCTTTTTCCACCACAGTGAGAAATCAACAAGGTTCAGCAGCAGAGAACACAACCAGTCAGGTAACACCTGTGTTCTGTAACACTTTCAGAAGATGCTCATCGTTCTCATCACTAGATCTCTTTCCTTTAGTAAGCAGTAGTGAAGTTTAGGGATGTTTTTATTTTACTGGGATATTCAGAGCTGCACATGATCTCCAGGTTAGTTTAATGAGCTTCATGTTATTATTTCTTTTATTGGTGTTTGCAGTTATATGATATTTAGGTCCCAACTTTGTGGAAAATATGCAGTTTAGTATGAAGTTTCAGTTCTCTAAATGAGTGTGTGAGGACATTTTTAGAGTGAGTGTGGTCACTATAATCTTTCACCTGTAACAGAGACACACAAGTTTTGGCTGATGGTGCTTGATACTGTGCAACTTTCATAGAAGTGTGATGCATTTTTTGAGGCTGTCTAAAGTTTTGACAAGAAAATTTCAGATGTAAAGAGAATTTCCTCATAATTTGTTCTTATACAGCACCTCTCATTTATTTTGATTAACACATTGATTTTTCCTTTGTGTGTGTGTGTGTGTGTGTGTGTGTATGTTTACCTAAAATGTTTTAAGAAAATAGCTGTCTACACTGTAAGTTATGCCTGTGTTATATCAACCAAGAAACCAATTGCAGAAAGAAGCCTTTTTTCTGATTATATGTCTGAATGCTTTGTCAAATGATACTTGTGGATGCTCAGAAACAATCATTGATATTTGGCTAAAAAACACATATAGATTAATGCAAATGCTTGTAATTGTATAAAAAATAAATAATATAATATGGCATCTTTGAATGTGATATAACAGCTAATTTACTTTTACTGTGTATAATAACAGAAATGTTTCATAAACTCTAGAACAATAATTGTAAGCACATAAATCCAAGAGTGTCTGA